CCCAGTCAAGTTCCTATCTCACATAATGGTGCCACTCACCTTTCTCTATCTTTGGTTCTCTACCTTGATGCCTCTCCCCAAAGCCTCAGTAGACACACTGGCCTTCATTCTTCTCCAGCTTTAAGCTCTAATGCAGAGAACTTTTTTGCACAGACAACCCATTCAGCCTACCCTACTGGGCGTCTCATCTCTTTGGGTTCTATGTACAAAGCAGCTGGCAAACCCTCTGCTATTATGTACACCAAAACTTTCCTGGGGTTTTGTGGACAGTGCTGTGTTCTGGGTGGCCTGGATCAACTCACAGACCTCTCTTTCTCTGACACCCACAGTCAAGACCCTTCTTCTGTGGCTTCTCTTCTCACCTCACGCACCTGAAGACAAAAGAAGATACCCGCTTCCCTGACTTCTCCTAAGTGTCGGGCTTTTGAGATTCCATCGAGCTTCTGTGTAGCACCCCTTCACTAACTTAGTCTTGTCAATGTTACAAAAGATTCTCTTGCCATAGTCCCCTCCCATTTGCTCTAAGACATTCACACACATACATCCAAACACGACACCGGGCTGAGCTTCCTGGTGATCGGGTCTATTTTGGATACAGTTCAAGGGCACAGCCATACTTCTTTCCCAGCCTTTCTGTAGCAGCTCCTGCCACCTTCCAGCCATTCTGTTTGTTCTTTTTCCAGAAGATAATGTCCCTGAACTCTCTGAAGTGACTGTAGTCACTCGAAGCAGGGCTTCCCTTGCTGCTTGGGATGATCCTTCAAGCGTCCTCATATGATGTCTAACTCTGACCAGCTGTGTTTCTTGCGCATCATCAATCTCTAGTTCCAACTGATTGGAGTTCCCACTGTCGTGCAGAGAGCTGTACCTATGACCATCTACCAAGCTAGCCTGGCTCTGTTAAATGACAACTTCTTCTATAGAAGTAAGTTCTTACAAGGAGATTTCCATACTTACTCTTAACACAGTATGAATTCAGTGCTCCGACGACATTCAAATGTCAGTGTGTCTTTCACTGACTCCCACCTTGCAGTGCCCTGCAGGGTAATTGGGAGTAAAAATCAAGGAAGGAGAGCAGAGAAAAATGTATAGCTCAATAAAATCAATTAAAAAACAAAAACAATCAAATCCTTATGATGCTATACAAAGTCCTACACACTCCCCTTGCCTGCTCTCTCTCCTGAACTCTTCCTTTGCTCTTCTTTGGCGAGGAAGCAATGATTGAAGAAAAATTTGGTCATTTGAGATATTCTACCGAGTTGCTGTTCATTTTCCATGACTGAAGCACCAAACCACAAAAATAAGCTAGGACACAATATCTCTATGGAAACTAGTTAATATTTCAATTATTTTTTATATTGCCACCAGTGATCTCTGAAAGAATGGGAGACTCCAAGGACCATAAACGAAGAATACATTCTGTTGCCATAATGGAGTATGGGCGAGTTACCAAGCGTTGGTGTGGTTGGAGTCCTTTGGACTAGTGCCATTTGGCAATGTCTAGTTTACAAGATGATTTTCCTCACAATGCAGCCCCTTCAGCACCATATTCCCACCCCAAAATTAGGTAGGCACAGATGTTTACAATGCTCTGAATTTTCAGAAAATGGCAAAAACCTGCCAAATGCTCATTTATGAACGTTTTACCTCTACAATGAGTTGATTTCTGTTATAGCTATCCTTAAATACAATTGTTTCTAACATTTTTCTAAGCAAAATTATGCCATCAACTAAGATAATATTTCTCGTACTCATTGTCCACTTGTTCATGAAATGGATGTCGAAAAGAGATTATTTGAGCTCCCCTTAAATCCCCAACAATTTCACTGCACTGTAGACCCCTTTTCACGTCCAAGTGGAGGTAGTGCCTGTCTCTAAGGGAACTGTTTTTGCTGGTTGTGGAACTGGAAACAACACAATTCCAGGGTGACAGTGCTTCACTGGCATCGTCTGAGAAGCAATCCATCTGCTGTAGCTCATGTGTTCAAGAAGCATTGTATGTGCTTGTGTTATGTGCCTGTATATACTCGTATATCTAGATTTCTTCTTCTGCAACTGAGGGAGAGGAGGCCAGAAATAAACATGATTATTTTCCTCTCTAGTTCCTCATCTTATTTTTTGAGATAGGATCTGGTATCTGCTTAGGATAACCCAAGAGCTAGTTCTCAGCATAAAGGAGAGTTATTTGTCCCAGAGGGATGAAGGGAATATGAGACAAAGGCAGAAGATTGAGGATGAGGGAAACCAGGAAGGGAACAAGGGAAAGGGGACAGGGGTTATTGTTCCGGAGAAGACTGTCTCTGGATAGAGGGGAGACAGATGTGGCACATAAAAAAAAAATAGCTGCTTACAGAGGTAATCAAGGAAACCATCAAGAGGGAGTTATATACACTCACGATACTTCAAAATAGGCAGAGAAAGCGCTTATCCATCAATGAGCTTTAAATACCTCTTCGTAGATAAAGAACAAAATAATGAGGTGAAATATTTTTGAGCAAGACATTTCTAGGCTCTGTATGATATTGTATGCTATCGCCTAGGTTCCGATGGTTTTTATTTAACTTGACTGGTCCTGAACGAATGTCAGAAGCCTGAATGATAAACACAGCACTAACCAGGAAAGGAGATGACTGTTCCTTTCGTCTGAAACTCTTTGGAAAGTTGGAAGCCTAAATAACCAATACTACCAAAGGAGCCCATTTGAGACAACACATTCTCCTTGTGTGCAATACACTAATGTTCTAATTCTTTATTGTCCCCCATCCACTCTGAGTCAGCCAGCGTTAGTCAGCAGGATTTGTTTGACATTATTGGGTTCCCCTAAGGAGATCCTTGCGGGAGGAACACTTCCCCCAAGAGAAGACCAGCCTTGGCAAACCTAGAACAGCAGCGTGGTGCTTTCTGCCAAAAGGGATTTTCAATCAGAGCACATGGCAGAGTACACTGGCGTTCTCCCCACGAAGACGACTCTGAAACGGGATTTCTTTCTTGAGGTGATGAGCAGTAAAGGACTGTGAGTCATAAGATGGCAGCCTAGGAAAACAGAGCTGTGTGAATGGATTGTTCTGCGGCGGGTCTGTGGTAATGAATCATCACGTCCTTTCAATACTCCTCTCTTTTCACTTTGGGTAGCTTCTCCCATGGTGGAAGGCATTACGAGCATTTCATAAAACAGAACTGGGAAATGATCTCCTTGACTCAGATATCTGGTCTAGGAAACTTCAAGTCTCCATACTAACACTTCAAAGTTGTTTAGTTCAATGTTCTAGTTGCTTTGAGCAATTGGGTTTTCTAAGAAATCTGTGCACAAAAAAAAATATGGAGAACTGAAATTTCTTTAGAAAGCTTTCACAAAAACAAGTTAATTCTATGATGACTAAAGGCCTTTTTAAAAAAATATGTTGTGGCCAAGATCAATGGCTCATAGCTGTCATCCCAGCACTTTGGAGGCAAAGACAGGAGGATTGAGCTTAAGATACCATCAAGGGCATAAAACTATATGGTAATTTGTTCTTACCCTCTCTTTCTCTCCTCTCTCTATTTCTCTATTCATATGTTTGTGTGGATATATATATATATGTACATATACATATGCTTTAATAAAATATAAATTCTGATTCATATAAATTTTGAATGTCAATATTTTCTCTTTATTCTAAATATATAAATATGAATTTATCTTAATTAACTGATAAGAAATACTTGGTATTGTCATCAAAACATATAAGTGGGCCAATGGAATAGAGTTGAAGACCCTAATATTAGTCCACATACATATTAACACCTGTTTTTTGACAAGGAAGCTAAAATTATACAATGGAAAAAAAGCTTATTTAACAAATGGTTCTGACATAACTAAATGTTGACATGTTTGAGAATGCAAATAGATCCATATCTATCTCCATGCACAAAAGTCAAGTCCATATGGATCAAAGACCTCAAAATAAATCCAGCCACACTGAAACTGATAGAAGAGAAAGTAGGAAGTAGCCTTGAATGCATGGGCACAGGAGACCACTTCCTAAATATAACACTATCATCACAGACACTGAGAGCAAAAATTAATAAATGGGATCTCCTGAAACTAAGAAGCTTGCATAAAGCAAAGAACACAGTCAATAAGACAAAACGGCAGCCTAAAGAATGGGAAACGATCTTCACTAATCCCATATCAGAAAGACAACTGATCTCCAAAATATATAAAGTACTCAAGAAACTAGACATCAAACTACCAAATAATCCAATCATAAAATGGGGTATAGATCTAAACAGAGAATTCTCAATGGAAGAAATGACTGAGGGTTGTTCTTTAACTGTACAATCAACACATCATTTTATTATCTTTATGTAATACCAAGAAAAATCTAGAAGACATAGGTATTGGTTATTTTTTTGCCCATCGCTGAATCATAGTACCTAAAAAAAGCCCCTTAAAGTGGGAAGGGATTCTTTTGCATGTCAGGTTGTGGGTACATCATTTCACAGTGGAGAAGTCATGGCAGCTAGAACTGGAGGCTGCTGATCCCACTGCATCCACAGTAAAGAAGCTGAGAGTGACAAACAACCCTCAGAGAGCAGAAGGAACTTGTCTGAAGTCCCACACTCAGGAGAAAGCTGGCACCTGCGTTGCTTCACCCTCTTTCTTTGTGAGCCGCTCTCTGCACCGTAGCCCCTGACTATTCCTGCTCGTGTTCCACTTGTCTGGTTCCAGATACAATTATATTTTCAGAGAAATGACTTGCCTGTTCTTATTTCATTAAAAACTGTGTCTATACTACACGTCTGTTTTCTTGGCTATTCAAGCCAGCTGTCCCCAGGGAAGCTACCCTAATTCAATAGCAAAACTTAGAGTTTAAAAACTTCATAGGAGAAAGGATTAGAAAATTCACAGATTTCTTGACATATTTTTAAAGTATTTCCACAAATCCATACAGTTAATCTTTATACATCTCTATAAGACATCAAAATATATGTGATCTAAAAAATCAAGGAAACTAAAGTTATTTTTGCTTATTCTTTATTTCTTAAAGCTTATATTTAGAATTCAGAACAATGACCTCTTAGTTCTACAATTTTTTTCTTCTTCTTCATCATGGACACAACGTCAAATCACAGGTCTTCCAAGAACCAGTGTAGCAAAATAAATCGAAGTTCTGCATGCCCAAATTGGCAAGGAAGAATGATCCTTTGTTGAGGATTCATGCAGATTCTTCTCACATTGATTATGAATAGATTCTTCTAGCACTGATCCACTGTACTAAATCAGATGTTGCTCGTTGTGATGCATCTCTGCCACAAAGCATGCTGTTATTGTCCAATTGACAAATTTATAAGGTACCTGAAATATATAAATTCAGGAAGGGAGACCATTGGAATGGCATTTGATTTAGGGATAACTGTCATAGGCATTATGCCAGCTATGACTGCCTCAGAGTGATAGATGGCAGTCTAATTCCCAACACTTAGAACATTTCAAATCAAATTTCTTGCTCTGGCTTAACAATTTTTAAACTACTTTATATACATCTCCAAATTCTATCATTTTGAAATAAAATTTTCTCTTGCTGCATTTTCTTACTGCTTCTTAAACTTTTCCTTATAATTCCCCAGCCATCACCCATGAATACAAACATCCCAGGCTCTATCTGTTTTCATGATTATTTTATTTATACTGAAATTATAACTCTGAATGTAAAATGTTTCCTGGTAGAATCATTTTGCCACTATTGTTTCAAATTCTGCACATTCTAACAGCTGCTATGTGTTTCCTCCACTCTGGTATCCATACCAGGGTTAATCATTTGTCCCAAACAACAGCCCTGTAGTATTTCCTTCCCATTGAAAACATCACTATCCACTTTATTTGCCAGATTCCCTATTTAAATTTTTACTTTAGTCATTAAAATTTAATTTACTGAAAATAACCACGTTTCGGCACCATTAACATCTATTCATCTCTCTTTGAAACTTGTTTGTGTTAAAACACTGAAATATAATAATTAGAATAATAATGAATAGAAACAAGCAATATGTAATGGGACAGCTGATAGTAAATATCCTGAATAGAGGATTACAGAATCAATAGGGCTGCATTCCATAAGAACATGGGACTTTAGAGAGAACAGAAAAGCATTTCTTTTTTAAAAAACGTTTTCTTTCATCCAATACATTCCAACACAACTTGCTCTATGGCTCTAACTACCTGCCCCCCCCCCACAGCTCTCTTCTCCCACAGATCCTCTCCTCTTCCCTTTCCTTTCAGAAAAGAGCAGGCCTCCCAGAGATGTAAACTGAACACAGCATAAGAAGTTATTATAATATTCCAAACAAACCTTCATTTTAAAGCTGGACCAGATAACCCAGTAGGAAGAAAACGAAGCCAAGAGCAGAGACACCGCACTCCCACTGTTAGGAGTCCCGCAAAAACAGCAAGCTACATACACAACCATAACGGATATGCAAAGGACCCAGCGCAGACCCATGCAGGTTCTCTGATTGTCACTTCAGGCTCTGCGAACCCCTCTGAGTCCTGCTTAGTTGATTCTGTGGGCCATGTTCTCTTGGTGTCCTCAACACCTCTGGCTCCTACAGTCCTTATTCTTCCTCTGCACCAACCCCCACACATCTGTAATTTGCTACCATGGGTACTCAAATCTATTTCTTTTGTGACTTCTATAAAAATGACTTGCTCCTTTGTTATGATTATATATCACCACAAGCTCCAAGTAAACCTTTGAAACTTCCATGTATTACACATCAGTACATGCAAATGAACATTTTTTGTTGTTTTCCTATTCATTTGGGTGTTTTGCAGGTGGGGGGGGCGGTACACTTTATGGCTCCAGGCAAAGAACTTATTTTAAAAAAGGTACTAGGAAATTATTTTCTAAGTCTCTTATATTTGAAGATTTTTTTTGCAATGGAAATAATCAAGATATATCATGGTCTTTGGATAACCGACGCTCCAAAATTACTTCTTTTTGTTTACAATTTTTAACTAAAATGTAATACATCATTCCCTGCTTTCACTTGCCTCCCTCCAACTCCTCCCATTCTACCTCTTTCTTGTTCCATCTCAAATTTAGGGCATCTTTTTCTTTGTTAGTATACACACACACACACACACACACACACACACACACACAAAACCTTCTCACTCTATTTAGCATTATTTGCATATATATGATTTCGGAACAGCATTCTTGAGTTGCCTGTAGTCCTTTGCTTGGGAGGGGGCCCTGTGAGAGTTCCTCTTATGTGTTAGCATGCCTATTGTTACTGTGCTTGGTCAGGTCTTGTTAGCTACATTTTGACCAGTTGTAGTTTTCTGTCATTATCTGTCTATGGGGCAGGGGAGAATGTTTTTTTGATTGAGAGCTACACTTCTCTGAAGATATACAGCAAGTATTTAGAATGTAGCTAGGAATTATTGCTCTGGTTTAGTCAAGCGGTCATAGTAGGTTCTCCAATTCATGATCTCACTAGCTCCAGATAGTTGGCTAGGTTTCCAGTACCAGGCATAATTTTCCTGCTGTGGAGCGTGCCTTACCTCCAATTAGACAGCTGTTGGTTACCGTCAAGATGAGTGCCACTATTGGACACTTACGGACATCTGTTCCTACTGGTCATTGTTGTGCTTCATGCGCAACACAGCTAAGTGGGATTATTGTTCGCTTCCCTCCCTTGGCAGCTTGCACAGTACCATTCAGTGCTGTGGACTCTAGCTCTCGGGGTGGAGGTTCTGAGTAAGATCCAGCTTGTGTCCTCCAGGTTTTGTGTCTGAAGTGTACAGTGTCTTCAGCAGTAAGGACTTATCTCCAGCCTTTGGGAGGCAGCCAAGGGCAACAGCAACAGCCTGTATCATTTGGGGAGTTTCTCGAGTCACTCACCAGCAATTAGAAAAAGCTGTTTGCATATCTAGTACTGATTTTTTTTGTTAGTTACTCTATGACTCTTGGAGGGAGCATTGTCAACCTAACTGATGTAACTTCATGTATATGCATTATACATAATACTAGGTAAACATAAAATAGTCTGTTTTCCTGTGACTTTTTCAAGCACCCTTGGTAAGATTTTCCCCTTCTTCTTCCTCTCCTTCTGCATTGACCTCTGCTCATTTGCTCATTTAAACCCCCTCTCCTTTCTCATATTCCTCTCTTCCTATCGCTTGAATCCTACTACGATCCCCTCTAACAGCTCCCTTCATCTCCCTTCAACCCCAGCATGCATGGTACCAATTTACTTTCCAGGTTTCTGCAGTCACTTCAGTTATGTGTCCACACCTGGAAATTTGAAGAATTTTCTCAGAAGCATTTGTCAATGGTGTTATCTTTTCTCTAGTATATGAAAAAACTTTTAAATGCAATTAGAATTGTAGCTTACATTTTTATTCCATAAAACGTATAAGCCATACAAATACTTTTGTCTTCTTTTAAGAAGATCCATATTTTAGAAATGGTGCATTAATAGTTTCAAAATCTCTTGAACTTGGTCATATAAAATACCCTAAGTTATGTATAAGAAAGACAATGATGCTTATTAATTTAAAAAAATCATTCTCATAACGACAAACAATCCTTTGTCTTCTGATCTGGAGACATCTTTTTGTAAGATTGGGTCCCTGTCTCTCTAGGAAGTGTCATACAGTTTTGTTCTGTAAGTACTATGAATTGTATACAAGCAGAATAGGTTAAAAATTATCAACAGAAAGTCAAAATCTTTGCAAAGATGGAGGCTGCTCCTAGGAACATAACAGTCAACACTGCCTGCTGAACCGAGGTTGTATTTTCAACTCAGGTTACCCAGACCTTTGCAAAGACCTCTTTCTACCTGCCACTAACGGGGTTACTCCTTTCCCTTCGGGAGCTACGGCTTTTCTCTGCATGGAAGCAATCGTGTACAACACTGACAGCAAAGACGCTACCCTATTTCCCAATTTCTGAATGAAATGCATGTAAGAAGAGACAGAAAGGGTGTGGTGTGTACTGAAAAAAGTACACAGACAAAATATCTTCACGTTTATTTTCCCTCATCAACCATGAAGGGAAACTGAATATTTAAAGAAAGAAACTCAAGGGTTTAAATTTTTAATTTTTTTCTTTTATATCACATGCATTTGCTATGGAGTGTACACATGTCATTAGATTTCCTATGTCTCAAGTTGTCCACTGATTTTCCCCCTAATTTGTTTGATTCTATTTTGTGTCTTCCTCTCCTCGTTTGCATTAGTTAAGGTGTTAACAAAAAGAAGAGGTGGTTTCCAGAAATTTAGCTGACGTGTTTTTAAACGGCAGAGAGACACTGCAGAGCTTGCGAAGTGTAAACAGTGGCCATGTCCTTCCAAGTATAAGAAGTCATAATTAGTCAACTGTTTAGCAGGAAGGAGGACTTTTTTCCTCTGTCCCTTAAGTGAGCTGCATGCTGTAAGGTCTGCATTGCGCTTTGTAAAGAAATTCAAGGATGCCACCCAAAGGCAATCTAGACTTGTTACTTTTTATTTAAATATAAATCCCTATGGTCTTGAAAACGGTGAACTTAAAGCATTATAAGAACACTGAATTGGGTCAGAATAAGAGTCAAATCATTTAAATTAAGCAGGAAAATGACATGGCAGGGCACAGGTAAGAGATATCTGAAAGCAGGAGGACTTACAAGAGCTAAGAGGACCTTTGTAGCTGTGGGTCATGAAATAATAGCATCTTTGTTTCTTGCTTGCTTCCTGTACCTCTACTTAAAATAGGTTTGGGGATCTGCTGTGGTCAGGGTTAATGGTTAACTGTTGTTAGACTGTTATTCCCATAAGCTAGGACCTCACAATCAAGTGTTTTCTTACAGCAGTCTCTGAGAGGAGACATATTCGGTTTACTTGGTATGATGATTGCCAGCCAGGAGAGCAGGTCCGAACCTGGGAGCTTTCAAAACCACCAAATCTGGATGATTGAAGAGAAATTACAAAATGAATAGCTTAGGGTTTTCTTGTTAATGGTTTTCGTACAGTAAAAATTCACTAAATTTTCCACAGGTTAAAGAGAAGATTTTGAACTTTTTACATGTATTGTTTGATAACTTTAAATTGTGTGTGTGTGTGTGTGTGTGTGTGTGTGTGTGTGTGTGTCTGTGTGTGTGTGTGAGAGAGAGAGAGAGAGAGAGAGCGCTGGGATGGCCCAGAGCCATACTTGCAGTACTTATGAGCTGCCTGACATTGGTTCACTGGTTCTGGATATCAAACCCATGTTCTTTTCAGTCCGGGGTTTTCTAATAAGTAAATGTTATCAATAATTTTGAGTACACTTTTAATTTTCTTCTCAATTTTACTTGAAAATACTTCTAAAATTATTGGTCCCTTACAGCCTGCCTAAAATTCAATACTTAAAGTGCTAGAAAACTAGGATTATTTTGGCACTACCTAGATGGCCAAGGCCACTAATCCTGAACTGAATGGGCCACACTGATGTGTTGTCTTTTATTGTGACATGTTAGCCATTGTTTCTCTCTTTTGTTGGTCCGTTGGCTCTCAGATTTTACTCTCACTCTTTCTCTTACCTCTCTAAGCCTGCCCCTTTCAGTATGCTGCTACTCAAAGCCAGAATACTGTGAAATATGTACATAATATAATATTTAAATAGTATACACAATAATAAAAATTATATAATAGATAGATGATAGATGGATGGATAGATAGATAGATAGATAGATAGATAGATAGATAGATAGATAGATAAATAGATATCCAGATATGTTGAACATAGAATTTCACAAATCCTGGGCACGTGGGTTACCAATTATTAACTATAACAATACCATCCCTCTTTTTCTTTTATTTTGAGTAATACTCCCACAAAGCTTTCATGCTGCAAATTTCACAAATTTGATTTTCTTTGCAGCTGAATAGAATTCTGTGGTATGCAATGCAATTCTACCACCCTTTCATCAGTTGAAGAGCATCCCGACTGCATCCACGCCCTAGCTATTGTGCAATGTGCAGCAGGGAAATGACTAAGTATCTTTTTAGTAGGATATCAAGCTCTTTGAGTATTTGTCAGTTAGTGGTAGAAATGAATGAAGATTTCAATTAAACTCATATCTATAGCCATGCGCAAAAGCCAGCATGGACCAGAAGTCACCAAGTAAAACCCTAAACACTGAAACTACTAGAAGAAACATAGGCAGTGTCCTCTAAGATAGAGTTGTAAGGAAGGACTTTCCAAACAGGACTGCATTTGCTTAGAAATTAAGATTGACAAATGACAAATGGACCTCCTAAAACTCAAAGGCTTCTGTACAGCAAAGAAATAATCAGGTACCGAGGTAGCTCACTGAGTAAAAGGAAATCCTTGCTAGCTATGCATTTGAGAGAGAAGTCAGATCCAGAAAACACAAAGAACTCAAAAAAAAATCAAAACAGAAACAAAAAAATTCAACCAAATTAGGAAATGGCTATGGATCTGAAATTTCAGAAAAGAAGACACGAAGGTGGCTAAGGAATATCTTTGAAATTATTCAACATCCCAAGGAAACAGTAAGACCTAAGTTAGAACT